AAAGCTATAAATATATTAAAACTAATTTAACAAGAAGATGAATTAGAGTGTATGCTGTTATTTTTAATCTTAGTTGTATACTAAATTAATAGATAACATAATATTTATAAATGTTTTCCCTAAACTTAGTTATTTTAAATGAAGTGGTGGTGATGGAATAAACCCTAACACCCTAAAAATGTGTGCAAAATTGTTTGTTTTACCATTACAACTAAACTTTCAGCGTGAATGAAATTGAACTAAAAATCTCAAATTCCTGTCAGAATTCTGGCTGGAACTGAATTTTTGTAACCTTTAATTATAACTCGTGAATATGGAATCTTTATCACAATTTTTTGGGGCAAGTTTATTTACAAAAATACCAATGTAGCTCAAATTTTTTTTTTTTTTCATTTAGATGGTTTCCTGAATAGTTTAGTTAAAGTTTTTATAAAGAATGATAGATAGATAGGTCTTTTCTTAAGTAAAACAAAAAAAATCAAAAAAAACATATGATCAAAATTGTTTCAGTTGTTTCAGTTATTACATTACTGTCAAGTTACTCTCAGGTGCTTAATGTAAGGTGTGATGGAAACAAAAAAATGTTTTGGGATTGTTTTACCATTACATCTAAACTTTTTATTGTAGGGAAAAAAAGTTTGAACTAAAGCAAATCTTAGTTCAATCTTTAAAAAAAGTAGTAAATTACAGAACAGTAGTAAATTACAGAACAGTAGTAAATTACAGAACTTTCTAATTACAGACTGGGTTTTATAAAATATTTTATGTAAAGTAATAGAATATCTTATAAGGCAACATGTATACATCCATCTAGCAGTTAATAACTTCATCATCAAGAAACAGGATGGTTTTATTCTAAGAAAGTCTTGTAAATTTACTCAAGTGCACAGATTTTGCGATAAAGTGTATAGTTAATAAATATAGTGTTAAAACACTATATTCAGATTTCTCTAAAGCTTTTGATACATTTAAAGTTTAAGTTATCAAGATATAGATAAAATAATGAAACAATTTAACTTTTTTAATTAAATAGGAGGTAGAGGTTAGTTATAGTTCATGGTTGTCAGATTGGGTGAATGTAACAAGTAGTGTGCTTCTTGAACTGAAACTATTTCTGTTATACATAAATGACTTACCAAAAGAACTGAAAACTTGATGTTTTTTTTATGCTAATTTATTCTAATTCATGACTAAATTGATTAAACCATTAAAACTAAAAAAACATTTAAAGAATTTTCTAGAACTTCAAGAAAGTATTATTAAAGTGCACAGAATGGTGTAACACATAGCTTATGGAGCTAAATATTGATAAGTGTGTGGTAATGCATTTAGGGTAAAATAATCCACACCATGAATACTCATGATAATCATGGATAAAAATAGGTTATTGTTTTTTTTTTTTGATTTTAGGTTTATTGAGGACTTAACAAAATGACTTTTTTTTTTAATTCATTTCAATTTATCTCCCCAAGGCCTTGAATACCACTATAGTTGAGGAGGCTCCTTTTAGTTATGTAGTCTTCTCTGTTTGAAATTTAATGCTAGCACAAAAAGGTGCTGGCATAATGGTCATTTTTAAATTAGCCTGGGCGATTTTAAAAATTCATTTTTTTCTGCTATTAAAATTAAATCAAAATTTGCAAAAAGGATTTAAATAAATATTAGATAATAAATAATATATTAATCTAAAGTTTAGTTGAAAGAACATTGCCTAAAAGTTTTACAATTCTGGTAAAATAATATTAATAAATTAATATTAAATAAATATTACATAATATAGTTTAGAAAAAAAAATTGTTAAAAAAAGCCATTTTTGCATAAAAGTTGAACAAATGAACATAAAAGTTTTTTTACAATTTAAAAAAAATGCATGTGTCTAAAAAATTTTATGCATTTGCCAAAGTTTTTGCGGGCATGTAGGCAAGCGCAAAAAGACTTGAGCGCTAAAATGTTGGCTAAACCAAGAAGACTGTTGTTGTGGTTACAACACTCTCTTAACTCTATATTATTTTTTGTCATTATTTTCTTGAAAAACAGAGTAGTAAAAGGGTGGAATGAAATAATAACATAAAAACAGCAAAATCAGCCAACAAATTTCAAATGTTACTGAACCAGCTAAGCATGGGTCGCAGCCATCATACCACACCATTTATTGTTGATGGGCTGCACATTTATATTAAATAAAGTTATAAATTATGAATTATTTTTTCAGATACTGCTACTATCAATATTTGTATCAATTTTTTTTTGTCTAAATTAAATTAATATTTGTATGCAATTAAAGGTTTAAAAAGTTGTATAGAATTTCCATCTTTTAAAATAAATTAAATTATTTCATGAAATACTTTTAACTTACTTACCAAAATTTGAGATTTATTAGAGTGTGACCAGGGTTAGTGGAAATGACATTTGGCAAGTGTTTTATTGAAGACAGTTTTTAGTAAATATATTATTTTTTAAATTATAAGTATTGTCTGCATTTAACAAGAAATCAAAAGGTTTCAGAATTCTTGTTTTTAATTCTAAGTTAACACAACTTACAAAGTATGTTTAAAAACTATAAACTTAATAATTACATTAACTGAAGCTGAAGTCTACATTAGTTTTATTAAATTTTTGTATTATATAATTGGTAGCACATTTGCAAATTTATTACTGACACAAGCAGAGTTGTTAAAAAGGCTAAAAGAAGCAACATTCCTGATAGCAAATACACTGTTGTATGTTCTGAATACTGGCCTATAAATTTAAAAAAAATGTTTGTGGTAAGGAAAAAGTCTCTTCTCCACCTTCTATTTTTCATTATTATAATTATATGTTATTATCATCCAGCCTTGTACCAACTGTACCTCCAAAATCAAAAGTTACAACTTCATCAACTGGTACAAGAAATATACAAGCTGATCAACTTGAAACGTTCAAAGCTATGGACTATTTGAATTTTAATGATTTCATTATTCATTAGCCAAAAGTTTTATTAAAGTGTATAGTTGTCTACAAATGTGATGGTTTGTTTTCAATTGACTAAATTTTACTGTGGTTTACCAAAGTAAGATAAGCTTTCTTTAAATTGTTATGTATATTTAAAAAAAAAAAACAGATTTTCGTATCTAAACATTTTTTTTATAGGTTCATACTAAATCTTTCTACTAATTTAAAATATGATACATACCAATGTGGATGCTTTTGATATGTAACAAGTTTGTCTAAAAATCATGAAACTTTTAAACAAATGGTCAAATTTCGATAAAGCTATAAGATATTTAACTAATATTGAGATAAAAAAAAGTTATTATAGAAAGTTTATTTTCTATGAAAATTTTAAATATTGGTGGGATGATCTTAAGAACCTTTACAACTGAGAAAAGAAGATACTTGTGACTCTTTCACATTTTACTATGGGCTTTAATCTTTCTAAAACTTGTTGAGCAACAAAATTTTTCTTTGTGTTTGAGAGTTTTTTGTGATGAAACACTTTCTGCTTTATCAACACATCCTAAAATAGACCAAACCAATGTTGAAGGAACTATTGTATTTCTAAAAAAGTTTATAGATACATGGAACATTACTAATGTTCACAAACTAGGTGATGATGAAAGGTTAAGAGACCCATTTTGTCTGCAACAGATACTTTCATTATCATTAATCTGTAAAGATAATAATAGAAAAAAAAGAATTAAAACACTAACTGTTAAAACATCTAAAGCAATAGTTCATACCTTAAAAGGTATAGTTGAGTTAACAAAATATTTGTTAAGTACATCTCACGAATTTGTAAAACTTGGTAACTTTACATCTGACCCTATTGTAAAAGCATTTAGTAAGTTGCGTCAAGGTGCTGGTGGTGCTTATTTTATTTTGGTTCAACAAGTTTAAAAAAAAAATTGAGTGCTCAAAACTACTTTTGCAATTTAAGACTTTCGTGAGCTTCATGTTGGTCATACTTGCATGAACTGTCAGAGGTACCTAACACAAAAGTGAAATATTTGATTCTTTGAAAATATTAGTCTAAATTAACTGATGCTGTTAAAATGATTTTAGTATACATTGCTGGTTACCTTCAATTTAAGATTGGTTATGAAGATCTTGACACTGATACATATTCATATTGTAATGAGTATGGTGCTTATCCCAAAGACTTGGATAGAGGTGGTTTGACAAAGCCAACTGACATTTTAAGTCAATTTACTTTCTTTTGTTATGTATGTTTTTATTCCTTATCTTAATACTTGGAATCAATTGACAATTTATATATTTTGGGTTATTTTAAGAATAGTATGTGTATGAAAAGTTTTGAAATTTTTTCAATTATTTTTTAAAATAATTATTCAAAGCTAAACATTCTACGCTCTTACAAGAAGCCAGCTCAAAAAGTTTCAAAACTGAGTAATTAAATTAAAACTTTTGTTATATTTGTTGTTTGACTAATGTAAAACTCTTTTGAATAAATTATGTTTCCTTGAAATTTAGTATTATTTTCTCTTCAATAAATAAAAAATAAGTATGCCTTTAGTTAACAAGTTAGATAACAATTGTAATTTGTTAAAATATTTTTATAAATCAAAATTATAGGTCAAAATAATAGGCCTGTGTTTTAGATAGCCATGCATAAAACGCAATTAAGTTCTAAAGCTTTTAAGTAAATAAAAATAACTCAAAAGAGCTAAACTGTGTCAACTAAAATGCAAACACAAAAGAAAGTTCTGAATTTTTTAAGAAAAGATGGAAGGCCAAAGCAATCAAGGTTAATGCCAACAGTTTCAAGGTCAAGACTAAGGCCAACAGTTTCAAGGCAATTCCAAAAAATATTTGCCCTTAAGGCTAGGCTGAGGCCAAGGTCAAGGCCAAGAACTAACAACTCTGTACACAAGTCAATTATAAACTTCAGTTTTATAATTTAAGTTTAATGACATAAAATGTTTTAACTTAATAAATAACTTAGATTTTGTCACAGTTATCATCTAAAATGATATTTTTACCCAATTAAATTGTATTTTTAGACAATTCGTTCTCATGCAGGATGTAAAACATCTGTTGGAACATGTTATTGGATGAGTCCTGAAGTTATTAATCCGACCTTTCCTAATTTTGAATATGGAAAAAAAGCTGATATATGGTATTTTTTTGTTTTAAATCAAAATTCATGCAAGCAATTTGTTAACAAAAATGTTACCTGAATTTTTGAATAATTTTTAAAGTAACAAGAATTTTTAGTTATAATACTAGCTTTGAATAAGTTTAAAGTTACCATAGCAACTAAAAATTCTCTGAAAAAGGTTGATAGCTTGTGAAGGCTTTTTGTTTGTAAAAATGTATTTTATTTATTGTTTTTTTATTTTGTTTTTTAGCAAAAAAATGTTTTTTTGAAAAAAATCAAAATTTTTTTTTTAATTTTTATACATTTTGCTTTTTTTAATTTATGTAAATATTTTTTTTTTATCTGTGTATCTATCATCTTTATTGCTTTTTTTTTATTTATCTTTGACCAGAATAAAAGCATTTTTTTAGTATAGAAATATGAAAATTAGGATTCTATAGCAAAATTTTCACAAGTAAAATTTTCATCTGGTAAAAAGAGCTGCCAAGAACCCAAAGCTCCTCTACATAAACAATCAACAAGCAGTCAGAGATTCAATCAAAGCATTATGAGGAATGGATGGCAAAACCACTCAAAATCCAAAATATATTGCGGATATTTTAAACAAAAACTTTCAAGCAGCATTTGTGAGAGAAGACAATGGTCCACTGCCTTACTTTCAGGTAAGAACAAATGTAACGTTTATTATGACGACAGAAGATTTTAAATATGAAGATGTCTTTTTAAGATTAAAAAACTTGAAAGAAAACAAATCAAGTGGTGTTGATAACTTAAATTCAGCTATTTTAAAAAACTGTGCATCAGCATTTGTTATTCCACTTACATATATTTTTAAAGAATCGTTTGAAACTAGCAAATTGCCAGAGCAATTCAGATCAGCAAATATTACTCCTCTGTACAAAAAAGGTGAAAAAACCTTAGCAGTAAACTAACGACCGATATCACTCACCTCAGTTGCTTGTAAAATAATGGAAGGTATAATGAGATGTAAACTTGAAATTTTTCTGAATGAGTATAAACTCATAGTCAAGCAGCAGCACGGTTTTGTTAAAAGTAAATCATGCACAACAAATCTACTTGATACACTAGATTTTATTTCCACCAGTTTAGGTGGTAAACCTGTTGATGTTGTTTTTTTGGATTTTGCTAGGGCATTTGACACAGTGCCTAATAAAAGGCTGTTACTAAAACTAGCAGTTTATGGAATATCTGGTCTAACAATTAAATGGATTGAAGCTTTTCTGAAAAATAGAAAACAAAGAGTTGTGCTAGGCGAAAACGTATCTTCTTGGGCAGAAATTATCAGTGGTGTGCCACAGGGTTCGGTAATTGGACCACTTTTGTTCGTGCTATTTATTAATGATTTTCCTGAAACCTTCAAAAACATATCTATGCTGTACGCTGATGTCGCTAAAATAATGAATGAAATGATTTCCTACAAATCAACAGTGTCTTTGCAAGCAGATCTTTATAGAGCTTTTAAGTAGACTCAAGAGTGGCTTGTAAAGTTCAATATTTATAAATTTATGGTCATGCACTATGGGATTAATAACAGAAAAACACCACTTTATATCAATAAACAAAAATTAAACGTAACAGAATCTGAAAGAGATCGAGGAGTAATTTTCTTAAACAACCTAAAATGGAAAAATCAAGTGATATCATGCGTAGGCAAAGCTAATCAATTGGGTATGATTAAAAAATACTTTGTTCGTTTAGATATTAGACTACTGAGATCACTTTATGTATCTTTTATCAGGCCACTATTAGATTTTACAATACCCGTTTGGTCACCGAATCAAAAGGGTGAAATTGACTTACTGGAAAGAGTTCAAAATCGTGCAACTCGACTAATAACGTCACTCAAGAAAATCAACTATGAGAATCATCTAAAAGCTCTTGACTTAACTCCGTTAACAAATAGAAGAAAGAGAGGAGACATGATTCAACATTTTAAGATCTTTAACGGTTTCAACAAATTGGAAACAAAAAGAAAGTTTATATTTCAACAAACTCAAACAAGAGGTCACCGGTTTAAAATGTAAAAGAAATCACGAAGCAGGCTTGTCGAGAAAACTTTTTCTTTAACAGATCAGCCAATTTATGGAATAGCTTGCCAAACGATTTGGTTAATTCAGAAACAGTCAACAGTTTTAAAGCCGGTCTTGATTGCTGGATAAGCAGCAGTCAGGCAAATCAGCTGTCATAGTGTGCTAATAACACACTCACTGGTTCATACCAGTTACAGCATTTAATAATAATAATAATAATAATAATAATAATAATAATAATAATAATAATAATAATAATAATAATAATAAGTAATTTTAAATAAAATGGCTGTAAAGTTTAATGTTTCACCACTTATATCTAATGCATGATAGTTCCTTTTAGTTAAAACACTTAATTCAGCTGTTGAATAAGAGGCTTAAGATCTGTTGTGTTATTGTTAGCAAGTAAACAATTTATCAATACAACAAGAAGATCAAAAGTTTTATTGAATTGATTAAAAAAATGAATTGATGAGACAGTTAATTTTGATTGAGTTGACTGTTTTGATCCTCATCAAATTTAAAAGTTAACTCAATCTAAGTTCTTGAACTCTAAATAGATATTTGAATTTTCTTTATCAAAAATTCAAACGCTTTAATAATATTAAGAAGAAAATTTGTTAGAGAGGTCTTTGTTTTAATGATTGAATCCTGTTTAAAAATTGACAAACAAATAGGAAAACAAGCTTTAGTTAAGACAAAGAAAAATTATTTTTAGTTGTTAATTAGTAATAAATGAGACTTGAATTAAATTGAAGTTGTAATGATATTGGAGTGGTAAAGAAGTTGAAGTGATAAAGAAGTTAGAGTAGTAAAAAAAAGTTGAATGATAAAGAAGTTAGAGTGGTTAAGATGTTGGAGTGGTTAAGTTGTTTATTTGTAATGAAAAGAAGAGTGTGATCATTTCATTCAACAAATGAATTAGAGTAAAAGCTGTTTGCAAATAGTTTTGCTCTTTGGTAGAGCTAATAAAATTTAATTCATATATAATAGGGGTCATGAAAAAATTTTCACTAACAAATAGGCAATTTTTTGTGGACTATAATAAAGAAATGAAAAACTTTTTTTCTTTTTTTATTATTATTATTATATTTTACCTCGCGCTGGCCTCATAAAATTTTTGAAAAAAACTTTTTTATAAATTGCATTATATACCGGGAAAAAATAAAAAACTGGATACTATTTTAATAAATGAATGTTTATGTTAATTAAAAGACATATACCAAAAATTATTGTTGTAGGTACATTTTCATGCTCATTTCTTTATGCCAGACCTGTAACCAGTGTTGACATTTTTTACCGGTTGCAACCAGTCAATCAATGAAATTCAGGTTTTTCAGACGGTGGATCTTCTGATGAAGATAGAACTCTGATTTTTTTTATGTATGCTTAAATAATTTATAGAAATAAAATAATCAGCAGTGTATTTTGATTATTAGCCTTAAAAAAAAAAAGGCGGGGAGGGGGAGCCCATCCCAGTCAATCTCTTTTTAAATAATAAACAAACAATAGTAAAAATGTATTTAACAAAAATTACAAAAATCAACAAAAAATGATTGACTAGCTGCCATTAGCAGCCTCATGGTCACCAAACAGTTGTTCTACAAATCAAGAAACAAATCAATGCTGCTAGCTTATTCAGTGTCTATTTTACAGAAGGTGAATACATTTCCGTCTTTTATGACAGGAAACTCTTTTAAAAGTTAAGCTGGTGTTTTCTGCTCAGTTTGTTTGCGGAAGACAGCTTTTATCTTTGAGGACTGTCCAGTTGTTTTTGAATTTGAGCAGCTTTTGCAGCTAATGCTCAGACTTAATTTGACACACTGTTTCCTGTACCAGCTTTACAGTCCTCTCGCTAAAATCATCAACAACAGCCAAGTTTTTGATGTACAACTGGAACTCCTAATAATAAAAATCATTATTCCAGGAGCTAGCTTGATAAATCATCCATTTGGACTTTTTTCATGGCCTTAAATCTCAAATTTTTATTACAACATTTTTTTTTTGATTTTATACTTCATGTTAATTTAATGTACTTAATATTTGCGAGAGTTCTCGATGATAAAACCTGAAGGTCTTCTGCGAGTCTCTGCGTTTTTTTTTTGTATATATTTCTTTTATTGTATAACGATTTTTTATCTTAACTATCTTATTGTATAAACTATATTAAATATTCAAGGAAAGAGCAAAAAAAAAATAGCTATTAATCAGCAGTGATTAAGTCAACCAAATCTGGTGAAATGCAAACTTTTTTTTTCAGGTAAGAATCCTTTATTGTAATGTCTACCCATGTCATAGTCATTTGGATTGTTATAGAGCTTTTTGGTGATCATCTCCTTTTCTTGTTCAGTGATTGAATTATCTGAATTTGCAAGCACAATGGGAACAACTATCCAGGTACCAGCTATGGTTTCCCCATAATTTGAACACTGCACTTGCAGCAGATTCATCCTCAACATACTTGGACATCTTTCAAATAGAATTCAAGTCCTGATAAAGAAAAAATGATATATTTTTATAATTTTATAAATATATAGTTTTTTAATGCATGAAATTTAGTAACAGTCAATTTATATTTAAACCTAATATTTATGTTTTGTTGAATACCTGCAGCGAAGCAATGCCTGGTTCTCAGTAGTCAGAAACTTAGGTACATATAAGATAGCAGTAAACTTGCCCATCCTAGTGATGAGAGCTGAATCCAGATTTAGATGCTATATGCACAGAATCTTTAAGAAAGAGAATTTTTAGGTAATAAATACCTTTGGTTTTGAATCTGGCATGGTGCTTAGCACCAGGTTTTTTTAAATTTGCAGATATAGTTTGAGTTCAGGTACATAAGACATAACTCTGCTAGCTTTTCTTACTAGTCTAAAACTATATTTTGTTTTTATCAAATGTTTCCTAAATCTAGATACTATAACACAATGAAAAAAATGCTACTAAAAATGAATGGAGATTTAGTAA